CCAGAAACGAAAGTCAATCATAAATAAAAGAAAACATCATTAGATGTGCGAATGTAAGACTAACGGTCACTTCAATTAAGGCATCTCATGACACTAAGACATCAGTGAACTTGATTTCATGACTAAACGATCATTTACAAGTTTTTCCACTTCTTTCTACCGAAGAAAAAGGTTCTTCTCCTTCCCTACATGCATACAAATGAAAAATTCTATATGAGAGATTCCTGCTCTAAAGCAAATGTTTATTATATGAAAGTGCATCATCACAGCCATGTTGTCCTCAAGAAAACTGCAGTACTGTCAGTTCTAAATCTTGTGAAAGTACCAAATCTTGCCCACAAATTTCATGAAAAATACAGAGCCGACAACTTCATCTTTTGTTCTTTTTTTGTCTGGTAATTTTCAATGTTGAAGAGATAAGATCGAAAATATTAGGAAGGCATCAATGCCTTTTGCCTTCTCATTGTCATCCACTAAAAACCATCAGCCTTTTACCTTGTAGGAAAGGAAAGAAAACAGGAAGACATGCCGGGTCTTTTTTTTATCTGTGGGGAGTGGGGCTAGGGAAAAGGCACTTTCAATGCAATAGCAATGTGAATCCTGAAACTACATATTCTTAGAAGAGACATCTCATGATAAAAACCATAGGCCAAACTTCAACAGTTTAATAGTTCAGACTTCATTCCATGACCAGAATCTATAGAGACAAGAGATGGACTCCACAACGATGTAATTATGGCACATCCAAAACTCCAAACACAGACACTTAAAATCAGTTGATGCATTGTTTACCTGGCCCTTAATGATCTTGCTCAACTTGCCTTTCACTTTGCCCACATAGAATCTCTCGTGGAAGTTCTTTATTAGCAGCATTACCATATTTCTCAACAACCCTGTCCTTTATAATGGGTTCCAATTTCTCCTTTACAATCTTATAGTTCTTATAAAGCAATTCAGCTTGGGACAGAGCTAATTGCATGTGAATATCTTGTCCCTTCTCAAATGCTTCCCAACATGGATGTTCAACTGCTTGAACTTAATAGCCTGGGCACTATATCTATATTGGTTCCCTACGATATAAGAGAGAGAAAATCATTAATGTAAAGAAATATCCAATTGAAAAACAATAATTCTAATTTTTCAGAGGAACTCACCCCATAAAATCTGTCTATTTGGGTCTGCTTCTGGAAGAGCATCTTCCTGCGTGGACCTGGTTTTTGGATCATAATGGGCAGAGTAATGTCAAGATTTAGAAGATATTTAGCTGTGTCCTCCCAAGTACGTAAATCCCTACCAAAGAGATAATTCAACAAGGAAAATGCCCTTATATAGTATTCTAGCCAGCATTACTGTGGGAAAGTAATTTTAGCTGCAATACATTTGAAGAAGGCTACTTCTTTTAACCTGTTTAAGCCACAGGGTTTTTTCATTATAGGGATCAAATGAATGCAGTATACTATAACCTCACCTTACAGTTCCTGTGCTTCCAGCACCCGCTGTCCACGCGCTTTTCAACCTTTGCGAAGTCCATTTGTCTACTCTCATCAACCTTAGCTTCATCTATTCTTAAATCATCTTCATCATCCTCTCCAGTTTAATTGCACTGTTGCTATTTTGGTTATTATTGTTCTCCTCTAAATTCTTAAACTGTTGTTCCTTCAGGTGTTTGGTTATTATCATCCTCTCCGAGCGTCTTCTCTTGCTTCATAATGCTCAACAACACAAGTTAGCTAAACAGGTTGTAGCCATTCCAGTGGTCCATTTGGCATCATAGTCAAGCTCAAACATCTCTATTTTTTCATCAGCTGCAATACTTTAATTTGTCCACTTTACGGAGCCTTTCTATGCATGATGTTACATCATGAGTCATAGCTCCACAGCTGACGCAACCATAAAAAATGCATTAAAAACCTAAACATTTTTATTACATATGTAGGAATGTAAGACATTTCCAAGGTATTTATCATTAAAAAAATGTTATGGTTTCAGAGTACCAAATTCAGGCTACAGAATTATATAACTCAAGCCTACATTTTTCTTAGAGCAAACTTGTCAACCACTTAAAATCTCATCTTTCAAGCTAATATCAATTTCTTCTGAACTCACACTAAACTAGACATATAGTTCAGAGTAAGGTCTACAGATTCTACAGTGTCTCATCAGTTATGAGTGCCAAAAGACATGTTTTTTTAACATACGGAGTATGTATAACATGGCCATGACGGGTGAAAATCTGTTTCATATGGACGATGTGTTTTTTAACATATCTCTCACATATAACTCCTGCAACCCTCTCCCTTCAAACTTCATTTCCAATTTTTCTTTTGGCTTCCACCTAACACCATAGAGAACCTATCATTTTAAGGCAACACATAATGCAGCCATTCAACAAATGTTACTAAGATTCTACGTAATTGGTTATGACAGAACGTCCACATGTAAAATGGTAAGTCTTTTTTCACTTTTTGAGCATGCAACTTGAGAAATCATATCGGCAACTAGTTTGTTTATCTGACAAAGAAGAAGATTAGGATTCCCTGTAGAAGAATCCAAATGTAACAAGCTAAAAAACTAGAAAGGTAGAAGAAAATGAAACAGAGGAATTATTCATATATGTCTGAGAGAGAGAGAGATCGTACTTTTGACA